GAAATTCTTTTGTAAACTGAATAAAAGATGTACACATGAACATAAATAATTATTTCTTTTATCAGATTAAAATTATCTTACAAAAGTCCGTTCTTAAAGTGATCGTCACTCTATAAAAAGAAGTTCTATGCATCTGAATCTCTTAGAACAGATTCCCTCGTAAATAATATTCAATCAATATTACAAATTAAAATCTCATTCAACTACAAGAGTAAACATAACTATCGCTAATAAAAAAAGTTCTCCCGATGTCAAATCACTTGTCGATCGAGACGAGTAATAGAAAATCAACTTTTCACGAACAAATTTCTCAGTTCATTGGATAAATTGTCATTTTTCTAGTATTTCCTATTAGGAAACACAGTGATCTATCATGATGACAAAATGTTCAAGAACCTTGTGATATTCGTTTGACATTCTATTTTACATTTTAGTTATGAAAACAAAGTATTATCATAAATATTTCTCTTTTTTAATCTAATTCTAACGATTCATACCTTGTAAATTTTGTTAAACAAAAACACAGTATCATTTTACACTTTAATGACAAAAACAAAATGTCATTTGACTTTTTTTTTGTTTTAAAGTTCTCTTAGAAATACTGATAACATGCTCATTACCGGCTACATTATATTCATGCTATTCTACCGGCAACTACTTCGGCAAAATTTATAGAGAAGTAGCACAAGCAAAACAATTTGAATCTAAAATACATATGTCTCGTCCTCTGGTCAAACCTTTATAATCACCATCAGAGATGCTTATCGCGACTGAAAATCTACCGCTGTCATCATTGAAGTCGATGGCTCAGAAAATGAAATCAATTTAGATTTTTCTATTATTCATCATCTTGATCGAAAAAATAATTTCACACTTGAAAAGAGTCTTGGCTTTACTAATATAAACTTACACGATGTTGAGCACGATCACCAATAATATAAAGTGGTGAACGTTTATGAACTTGTAAAATTGATTCATTAAAATCAATATCAAAATTTGTTGATCCACTACCACCACCACCACTAACACCTGCACCTCCACTTGTTGCTATTGATGATGGTGTTGGTGAATTCATTGATGTATAACTTGCTGTTTCACTTCTTGGTAATGTATCAATATTTGAATGAACATT